ATGGGGAAACAGCAACTTCTGTTACTGATTTGAAAAAGTAACTGAAATTTTATTGTAAATTAATGCATTACTTAATCAGATTACTTTTTCCAAGTAATGACTTGCATTACTCCAACATTGCTTATAAACCGCAAAAATACCCCTGGAGCTCAATTCAGTGCAGAAAATGGAACTAAACCTGCCAAGATACCAGCACCGAAGCAATCAGCAAAATGTCTACTTTATAAGGTCTAATTATTGTCAAAACCCTATAAAATATTGGAATATAGCTTGTCGATGTTGCTCGGGCTTAGTTGTCAGTGTAGTTGCTCTCGTTTGCAGTAGAGTGTCGATGAGATTATAGACGGCTGTTTGTCTGTTCCTGTTGTGTGTTAGATGAGTGATTATAAGACGCCCATCGTGCTGGACACTGGCTCCGGTCTGATAAAGGCTGGGTTTGCAGACCAGGACCTTCCAACTACAGTGTTCCCCACCGTCATCGGCCGTCCCAAATATGAGGTACACCCTCTCTCCTGCTTTACCTGAGTGTACTGTATGCATGTGAAGGCAAATCTCGGCTGCTAGATTGTTTATAATGTCACACAATGTACCTATCACGGCTTTAATCCAATAAATATGATGAAGTTGTTATAAACGGCATGATTCTCTGTACAGCAGCTTTGGAAGTGTTTTGTGACGAGTGCAAGTGAATTGGAGCCGCTGTGCGTTTCCTCAGCGCTTCTGTTGGTCTGGTCTGTTGCAGGACGTAATGAACGGCAGTGTGGACCGAGAGCTGTATGTGGGGCATGACGCGCAGCACATGAGAGGAGTGCTAGTCCTGAAGTATCCCATCAGAAACGGCATCGTGAGCAGCTGGGATGAGATGGAGATGGTGAGTCCTTTCACTGCACCGAAACAGGCAGGCAGTGTTTTTGGAGATTAGATCGTTCTTTGAACGGAATGAAGGATTTTATCTGCCAGATTTCCTTAACCCTCGTGACACATTTGGGTGCATTTTGACCCAGAAGAGATACACAATTTTTTTAAAAATTATTGGTATTTATTTTTTTTACAATTAAGAGCTAACTTTTTTTTTTTTTTTTACGTAGTTTCATATTTGGGTAATTGAGTGTCATCCGTGTAAACCATCGCCTTTTGCCCGTATCTCACACTGAATTTCGGTGATGAACCATTGACCAATCATTGCAGCATGAGAATTTTATCCATCTTTTTCATCTGAAAGTGAAACTTTTTGAAAGGTTTTCAAACTATTTCATTTTACTTGCAATAGAGTAATATTTACGTTGCTTTATTTGGTTAAACATTCAGGTTTCAAAAATTGACTTATTTTATTTATAGTTCTATTTTTATCATGAGAAATTCAAAGTAACTTAAAATTGCATTCAA